AGAGTGGCCTCCCACTCATATCAGCTACAGTTCAACTTGACTGCCACCAGCCAGTGATTTGATGTCTTGTGGGAACTCCGCACTACACTATAATATTGTTCTACACCTATGATGTAGGTCAACAACCCTTGCAATCACAATCTGAGAGTGTAAACCGAGAGAAGAGCTAGAGTACAATAAATAAAAGCACCCTCCAAACCATTCAGCACTTTAATATTCTGCTGAATCAAATGTATTTCTGTAGACACATAATACTGCATGAGTACACACTTGCAGTATTAGCCATGTCTGCATATCAGTAATGTAACCCTGGTACTCCCATGCACGTATACATATGGACCTAACACAAAACTCCATGTCAGGTAATACATGTATGTAATAATTTGACCCAATTTTAGCCGAAAAATTATGGAAAGATCTTAATATGGAAACACTTAAATCCCCCTCATATGTCAAACAAATTAAGCATTTAGTTACCTTCACTTTTGTTTATAGTAAATATGGCACAATCAACAATAATACTGATTTATGAAGTGTTACATGAAAAGTACATAAATGCAACTGGTACGTGAAATACATGTAAAAGGTCTGCAACTACACACGTGACTATAACCTCATTGAAATGCACGGTGAATTCTATGATTATTTCCTATTCCCAAATATGATACGCATGTTTGTGTTACCCTTATTTATACTGGGTATGCTTTTAAGCTTACCTGAGAGCCACAGGCTTAATTGGATCAAGAATAATTACTGTAGCTTTATATCGGCAAAACTTTGGCGTAACAAGATGAAATCACATGAAGAACATGGCATCAAGCAAGTGAGTGATTGAACAGGGGCACTGTCCCACTCATCACATGAGGGCGCTATACCATTTTGAAGCGGGCTACATTTCAATCAAATATTAGCCACAAAACCCTAAGAAAACAACACCAACAAATAAAAGCAAGGATGTGGGGACCAAAAGTGAGTTTTTAATTTGTGTCCGCAAGATCATATTCAATGAGCTGAAAACCACAATGCCCTTTTAACTTTGCCCCCTGACACCTGAAGCTGGATCCCCCACTTAAGCCCACTTCTTGCAGAAACATTGCCTTTCACTTCTTCCTTTCGGGCTTATCCCTTGAATCTTTTTCGAAAAGTATTTTGATTTATATCGCAACTGGTGTATCCGTTGCCCTGTATGCCAAAATAGCCCTTCACCTTATTTTATAAACCTCAGCCACACCTTTTTGTGGGCGGCCAAAACAACATCTGTCATCATTTTACCATGTATAGCTGTGATGTTGCAAAAGACTCGTTTCTTGAGGCCATTGTTTCCAAAACTCCTTGTAACTTCCAGGTCAAAACTGAAACTTTTTAAATTGGGTCAGTGCCACAAATTGCACACCCTGCCTGGAGTCACCCTCCTTGAATATCAACGGGCTGATCTGGTCATGTGGGCCTATTGCCCACAATTTGCTATCGAGCTGTACTGTGCAAAGTTGCTCACTGTCTTTTAAATTTCTCCTCACCTCATTTAGTCGCCAAATAACCGATCACTGTGAGCTATCTTATAATAACCCCATTATCATAGCTTCTTGGTCAAACTATACCAAAATAGCATTTTAGCCAGAGTATTTGCGACTAATGCCAATTCCATCCTTTGTATTTCTCAATGTCGGCTCACGCTCAGAACCATGGTGCATAACACCATTAAGCACTTAAAGGCTGTCTAGCACCAACACACAGCCAGTTATCTCTTGAAAATGCCCTTGCCTTATGTATTGTCAGATGTCTAACCAAGGGGCCTGTCTATCTATTTGCTAATTCCCATTTCTCGTAATACCCCATTATTGTTCTGTCGTGACCCCCCAAAACACTAATTCACATATGTGCGTCAATGTTTTCAGAAGATTTTGCAAGGGTATCCAACCTGTGACCACGTTCATAAAAGTATAGCACCGAGGCTTTCTCATAGGTCTAAATGAAAATCTTCCCACTCCCAATCGGCCCGAACCGAGCATCACAAAATGGCGTGTGTGCTTGCAACAATGTCACTGAAGTCTGAATGGTCCTAGCAAACTGAGGAATTCGATTTATAATTCATGCGCATTTAATACCTAAAGAATGCACACTATGATGCTAAAATGGTCAAAATGTTCCTTCACTGAGCCTGTAAAGGCTGCAAACCCTAGCCGTTTAGGTCTACATTCCATGTTTGTTATTATGTTAATAAGGGCGTTCCATCAGAGACTTTATTCGCCCTGAGCATTTCCTGCCATCTGCCCTAAATCCATCCGTCTTGAATTAAAGGAGCACCATCGGGGTAATCCCGACCAGGTCCTTCACTTTGTGTGATATTTTACACATAACATGAATTATCTTTACGTAACAAGCCATTAAACAGGGTCATCTCCTAATAAAACGAAACATGGAAAATGTGTTTATGTCATCTTTGATAGGTCTGCTGTGCTGCCCAGCACAACTTGCAAAACCTTGTTGGGCCACCGAATGCCTGCACACATAGGACTACTACAGTCGATTTTCATACTACTCCTTGCTTATTAATTTTAAGACCTCTCCCACAAGGAAGCTTCCATGATGAATGCAATCTCAGGCTAGGGTGGTGGGTTCCTATATGCCTGGTATGTGACAAAAGAACATACATGCCCATGGACATCTACAGAGTCAATATTCACCGAAATATAAGGCTCTATTTGTCGGGCCGCTGACATTGTCGCACCCACCAATTTTAACAGCCACTCCCCTCGCAGAAGGCAAAAAGCAAGCCAAATCAATGAAACTTGTAGAATATTGTAAATACTGAAACGCCCCAGGAGATGGAAGGGGGTCTAACCATGGTCTAAATGCTTTGCTCCTGGGGCGTTTGAATGCAAAGACCAAAATGGGGTTAGGATATCTCCTACCTGTTCTCTCTGGATTTAGATAAACCTTCCCTCCAACCACCAACTCTACCTCCACCACAATGGGAGAATGAACCATTGACCCCATCCACAAAGCCTTTCCTTAGCGTTTCCATTTAAAACTCTTGGCAAGCTGACCAATTTAGTAGGATCATGGAAACGGCATGAGTACAACTGGAGCGAATAGGAAACGTGTGCGACTGCAGAGCAACACAATTTCATACTGATGGCCTCTTGCGCCCTCACTCTCACAGCGATGCAAATAGTGCATCCTAAATTCATGACATCCATGGAACAGGAGTACCAGCATGTGAAATAATTTCAACAGAAAAACATGGTTTCAGTAGTCAGTAAGATACTGCATTAACTATTAAATTAATGAAAATCTAGATGAGTTTACAGTGGTATGACTATGGTCAAGAAGTCTGGTGTCAAGAGGCACTGATTCTTTACTGCTGTTTGGCCTTTTTCATCTAATCAAATCCCTAAGGGATTAAAGGGAAAATACAAGTTGCTTAATAGAATCCTTGAGTTCAACAGGAGTTCAAGCTCTCTACTCAGGCTTTCTGATAAAAGTGGATTTGTAGTAGTTTTCAGGAACTTCTTGGCTGGTCTATCTATGCCAATGATAAATAGATCATAGATGAACCGGGATGGTCCTTTCCCTCGATCTAAAGTGCAAAAGATTGATTGATCGTAGTCCTTGTGTTGTGAATTATTTCAAATCTCAGAAGACAACATAATAGACAAAAGTAAAGTTATGAGAAAGGAAAACTGGAATGAATAAAAATTGAAATCAAGGAGTTTTAGCAAAGAAGAAATTAGGATTATTTTAAAATACAAAATTAACACACATGCGTATCAAGCTAAATGGACTATTGGGAGAAAAAGAACAATACATTATAAGTTAAGTAAATTATGAATCTTGATCACTGTGAGAAGGGGTGGAATCCTGATTTTGAGGGTTGCTGTTAATGAAAAGTTTGACCATGCTTTCTGCAGACCAATCCCACACAGCAGTATCAGTGTCCCTGTGAGGCTGAGAAAATGGCATCTTGAAGATAAATCAGAGTGATTTTACAGCTATCATCCATTAGACACACAGGCTTGTTTGGGAAACATTGGAATCTTTCATTACAAAAGATAGGGTGAATATTGGTTTCTAGCTCTTCAATCCGCCAGAAAGGAAATTGTGATTGTAACCTACAGGCTAATGACCCATTCATGGCCCTTGGAAGGCAGAAAACAGATGGCTACATTTACTTTGCCATCAAAAAGCAGAAAAGTAGGATTCATGGTTGTAGTCCAAACGTTTGATCTACTTATGTGCTGGCCCAAAAGGAGAAAAGCAGATGGCCACTTTTTGGCTGCCTTAGTAAACTCTGCTTTTTTGGTACTCCAGTAGCAGCAAAGTAGAATGAACACTTGTCAAAACATTCAATCCACTTTTCTGCTTTTATGACAGGCAATCACTTTTCAGCCCCCAGCAAATAGAGGAAATGTAAAATCTCTTTTTCTGGTAGCAGAATAGCAAAAAAGCAATAATAGCAAAATGCATTTTCTAAGTCTGTTCTGATAGCAGAAAATCAGATGGCTACTTTTTGTCCTCCGTAAGTTGTTGCCCTCTATATTTTATTTCCATGGATAGATTCTTCCCCTCCCCAGAACTCAGTTGTCCCATATCTAATATTCTTTGAATTTGGCATGCATGTACACACACTCATTGTCAGTACAAAGGTGAAGTTTCAATTCAATCCAACATATGGCTTTGTTGTGGCCTAATGAAGTTCAAGGCCACATGTGCTAGCCTGCATGTGTCAAGTAGATCAATGAAAAAGGTCTCAGAAAATGGGCACTGTGCAAGAATGCTACACTCAAATTTCACAAATTGATGTCAAAATGACCAAGATTTAAAAAAAAAATCTCCTGAAGCCTGGGCACATGAAAAAAAGCCTGTGACACTATCGGAAAAAAGTCAAGGGGTGACAGATTCTGCCCCTCCTATGCTCTTGCAGGGTTGAAGTATACAGTAAAAGTTTTTGATCACCTATGACCTTACCAAAATTTGTTCTTGTTTGTCTATACATGTAGCCTTCAACCTCGGGGACTTCCACACAGGAAACAAGCTTGCCAGGTATTTCACCATACAAAAACCAGGCAGCCCCAGTAAAAATCACAAATGTACAGCTCCAAGGGGCATCAATGGACAGATTCAATTGGGGCCAGCCTACCCAGCATTCAACAGTCGAAGAGCAAATGGGGTACCCACAAGACAGTTTGAGAGGTAGGAATCTTGCTTTTCAGTAAATTCCTATGGTACAATAACGTCTCTCAATTTGTCATCGTATCTTGAAAGGTTTGCTGTTTGGGACTGTAAGCTAGACCATTTTAGTGAAGTTGTTTATTGAAGTATTAAGTCATCCTTAAAGGGTTGATCTGCCAGAGGCTGACATGAAAATTCTCTAATTTTGAAATACTTGTTTTGGATGTTAAATTATTTCTCGCTAGAATAAAATTAAACAATTTAAATAGATAAGCATTTCCTCGACAGAAGGTATTTTAGGATAAAAAGAATCTGTAAGAATTACAATCACATGACAAATTATAAGGCAAATTGTAATGACCTCAACCTTTCAGCAAGTGAAAAACGGGGACTCTTAGTGTTAATAAGTATTTAATTGACTTTATAATAGGCAATTGCAAAAAAATGAAAATGGCATTATAGCGACTTATTTTCATCAAATTTCACTTATTAATTTCTAGGTTGTGTGAACGCTCTTGCGCAAGAACGGTATTAAGGCAGAAAAATCATGCCTGCCTTACTAAACAGGCTGCCCTTCTTTGTTTAGTTTACAGACCTCGTGTGCACTTGAGAACAAAAGAAATCGACATAATTTAGAGTTTAGATGAACTGGCACACATTTGCACATTGTATCCACCTTTCTGAAATACAGTTTGGAAGCATCGCTGAGATTTCGTATTGTTAACACAACTTGGTAACTGTACACATAGGCATGTTGGGCAGGTTAAATACCAAGTGCACGTGTCATTAGTGTGGAGGGACTGTCTGGTACAGTTTGACATTTGCGACAAAAATGGCAAAAGGTCACACAAATATGTATAAAAATTATAAAAATATGAATAGGAATGAGGTGTAGGGTAAAATGTATGGCACAAGATGACCTAGGGATGAATGGCAATAGGATAAGGTCGGAAAGTGGGGTACAAGATGATCTTGTCTATGGGATAAAATATGAATAAGGTATATCACAGGGGTAAAAATTTTTGGTACAATTTTACCTTTCTTATGAAATGATCGATGGTCATGAGACGATGATTCATAGGTGGTGTGATGTCATGGAAAAATCCCAAGTGGCCTTCAGGGAGGTCCTAAGGTAATCAAGGTGTAGGAAGCGATAGGGCGCCCACTCTCCTTTAGTGTCCAAGGATTAAAGTCGGACCAACACTTACTTCCAACGTATACAATATGATCATTAACACAATAGTCAGCCAACACAGCCCACCCACTACGTACAGTCAATTGTCTAGGAATTATCTGTATCATTACCTGGCAGCACGTACGACCCTTTATTTAGGGATCATCGCTTCCTACTCCTTGATTACCTTGCCATATTTATGTGGCTTTTTGCTATTTTGTCACAAAGGTCAAACTGTACCAGACAGTTCCCCTACACTACTCATGTTGCCTGCTGCTCATGTTCTACAACATGCGAATCCCCTCTTATTTTGTGTACACACAGAGTCGACGGAGTCTGTAGAGATGGACCATTTGTTGAACTTGGCAGCTGTGCATTGCCTGTTGTGGTAGTAAATACTCCTCAGTGTGTTAGCCCTAGAGTGTGGAAAAATGTGAGGTTGCCTTTAAAAAACAACATAGAAATACCGTTCAAATGACTCTTGTTACGTGCGGAGAACGCACGGCAGAAGAAAAATCAAAAGACGGGAACCAGGACACTAAAACATACGAGCAAAGAACAATAAAGGAGCTAATTTGGAATAACATTTAATTATAAACTTAAATCAGCAAAGCAGTAGATTAAAACAAAGTAAATCTAGTGGTTTGCTGCAACTTAAACTTCTCATGCAAGAACACTGTGAATTTGAACAGTCAAAAGCATAAAAGGAAATTATTTACATTAGCACAACCAAGCACAATTAATTACAATGAAAATTAGCAAGCCGGCAAAAACATATTAATACGCAAAGAGGCAAATTATATTCGGCTGAGTATAATTACCTTAAGCAGCCAACACAAGAGAAGCACCCCTACACTCCGCGCCATAACAGCCCAGTTCAGACAGGTACATGTAGGTCAGTGTCGATCCCCGAGATTCGGCTTCCACATGGAGCCACGACACTCCAGGGTCCACGGTCCCTCAGCGGTGTCAGCCTTGGCCACGGTCCAGCAGTAAAGAAAAGACGACAAGGAGGTGCTGACCCAACGCTGGCTATTTCGGAATGCACATGCTAAAAGCATATAGGCATTGACTGAGAGCAAAATCAATGACTACGGAGTCTTTTAGGTTTTTTGGAACATGCGTAAATTCCACGCGTACCTTTTCAGGGAGACACAAAAGGATTTGGATCAACTGGGATCATAACACTCTTGCAAATCAGTAGCGTGTGGCTGTGTACATGTATATCACAATTTGGCTTCTTTTTCTTGCCTTTTCAAAATTTGTCATTTTTGGCTCATAATAACATTGTCTGTTGATGGAAAACTATGTGAAACCAAAGGTATATCCATGTAAGGTATATATAGTTATTAGAACATACATGTAGTATATGAATTTTAACTTGGTATGTTGGTTGATCTTTGTGTCCTCTGAAAGTATTTTGATTTGGGGCCCTTTAGGTGAAGGGTCAAGAGCGTTAAAAAAAGGAACTTGAGATCTTATACTCTATTACTAAAGTTTGCTAATCCAGCCGCATTTGAAAAGACGCCACTCGCATTCACTTGGGACAAAGGAAATTAAGCAACACCTCACAATTCTGGGCTCTCTTTACAGGACAGCAGGCCCGGCTGAAATATTCAGGAGTCAATGAAGGTTATACTGTCCGCTTAGAGTAGCAACCAAACGGTCATTCGTTTGGGTGTAAACATCCATTAAATGAAATGATGAATTTTTAAAGAATTTTCAAAACTGAAAATCTTGAAAATCGCCCATATGTGTGCACTGCATTTTTAACCACTTGCTGCCGGGTGTTTTTTTTAACCATTATATGTGCCTGCCAGGCTGTTTTTCATATTTTCGTTCTTCAAAAATTCATATCCTTTTTTGAAGTGTAACCCCCATAGAATGACTGTCTTGTGCGAGTCTAGCCCCACTAGTAACCTCCATTGACCCGTCGGTTTTGCAGCCACGCTCTGTATAAGGCCCCCTTGGTGTAGTGTTGCATAGCTTTGCGATGCCCATCATTATGCAAAGGCCCAGAAAGGCCTTCAGTTCTCTAGTGTTCAGATCAGTCCGTGATCGCATGTGCACTGATGTCGTAGTGGGCCTCTGCACGGCATACCGGTTGGTCTCTTGCTCTCTCTTGTTGTAGAGAACATTGTCAAAAAACAGCTCAAAGGCCTCACTGCATGTTGTGCTGCGATGCAGGCAGGGAACAACAGCACCACCATTGAAGCCGTAAAGCAGTGAAACCTTACTTCATGCAGTGTACTGTTTTCATCTGTCCACCGGAACGGTACAGCACTGCCGCTGATCAACGCGGGGGTCTGTGTAGGGGACTGTCCCTTGTGCTTGGTGTATACCGCCAAGGGCACATCACTGTCTATTTCTGTACTTGACTGTACTTGAGCAGGTGACGGCAGTGATGAAGAAGACGAGGAACCCTCGTCTGAACCGAGATAAAACTCACGTTCATCATTGGAAGAACAGGACTCCCTGGATATAACTTCAGCCATGTTGTCTGCGCTCTGATAACTCGAGACCCAATATGCACACAAATAGCCACTGCACGGCAATTTTATTCTAAAGTAGCATCGGGCCGAGCCCTGTCTTTCTACGTGGTAACGGTCAGCAGCTCCCGGGCCAGGTCATTCATGGGGCACACCTGCATAATGAGCCTGCTCAGCCTGTGCTTTGTTTTCAGTGATAATCCACTGTGAGCGCCCGGCAGCCTGAACAATAGCACTCTGCATAAACAATACACGGATTACGTCTGCTAATGGCCAGCACTCTGCACTGAAAGAAAACTGGGATTGATTTGCAGCTCCCGGCAGCTCGGTCTTTTAATGCAGGATTTTATAACTTCGGTCACCCCGGCAATGAAATAAAGCCCCATTTCTCCGGCCCCGGGCCAGCAACCCATTATTGCCTATGAGCAATTTATTTACCTCAGCTGATGGCCTAAACTTTTTTAACTGACAGCAACAAACTTTTTAAAAAATGCTCAGAACCTTTTTTCTTTTAATTAAACTTCCAATTTCAGATACCCCGGTCATGGATAGGCCTTAGCCTATGTGTCCGGTACCGGACACCCCGTCACGAAGTGGCTATAAGCACCCGGCAGCGTGTGATTAAGGAGGTTTTAGATGGGTTTTCAAAAATTCCCAGAAAGATAAGATTGTTAATAAATGAGAATACAGTCATTCATATATTTTCTTTTCCCATTAGCTCCAAACAGAAGGCAGCGTTCTGTGCCATCAGATACGACCATGTCCCCAACCACCAGTGGGGTGAGAGCAGTGCTGTCCAGCCACATTCAAGGTCATTCTAGGACCCAGTATCAACCTCAGCATCAAGTGCCATATGTACCTCATCAGGGACACTACCAAGGAGGTGCTTCTCGTGATGACGGAGGGGGTAAAGGTCTACTAAAATGAGTGGAGACATCACACGTCATGACTGTGCTGTTTTCTACCTGTGACTTAACTCAGACCATAGAAAAATGGCAAAATTGACAATGGCTCAAATTCTTCAGTTACATATATTCATGGCAATTTCTTGGCTTGTGTCCCCAGATTATAATAGGAAGCCAGGTTTGGTGCATCAATTTGAAAACATTTTGTGCGAACATGATGTTGCAGGTCACTTACATACTGTCTGCCAATTATCACTCACATGTCCTACTATTTATTAGCATAGTCTGTTGCTGCCTAATTGCCTCCTGTGATAGCGTTTTATCTGGAGATAGCACCCCATAATATTGGTGGTTTGTGATCATGGAATAAATCACAGGGAAGCCTTGGAACCAAGAGTAATATACTATCCAACAATAGCCATGCATAAGAGCCGATCACCTTATAAATGGTGCAAAGACATGTGTTTATCTACAGTGTCTATATGACACTGTTAATGATTTCCTCATGGCACAATTTAATCAAGGCCTATCTATTTCCTTTATAGGAAGCTCTCGTCTTGCAATAATGGCTGTTCTTGTAGGCTTTTTTGATGGATTACACCTTAAAACATCTTCACCAGGGTATGTTTATGAAATCATGCATTACTGCAATAACTATTCTGTTCTGATGACTATAAGGTCAAGCTCTGTTAGCCTTGACAGAGCCTCCCTTTGCCAACATCTCTCTACTACTCTTTACAGTAGACAGTTTTCAAGTCGCAGCAGCTACAGCCAGGAGATGTACAGAGTTGCCTGCCCTTACTATAGAACAAGGTCATATATGATGGGAATCACATGGAGTGTGGCTAGTCCCTCGTAAAATGATCCTGGCAAAGAATCAGCTGCCACAAAAGATGTTCTAGAGTTAAACACCATTTCTTTTATCAGAGATGACAACCTCTAATACCCCAAACTGAGCTCATAAGGGATGAGATTACTGAGCTGTTTATCATGACAGCTGAGCCTTTATTCAGGGTATCATGGGGTACAATCTCATGGTGAATAGTCAGACATTCAAGGTTTCCACTCCAGATTTGCCGGTACATACACAAAACACTTCCCATGCTCATGACATGAGAGCAATGATGACAATATGGGCATTTTTTAAAAAAGGTATCCCTTTGCCAACTTCAGGTATAAAGCTGCTCTAAAAAAATGTCACCCTTCTTCTTATGCAATCTGAAGGACATTATGTGATCAGAAGGTCAAACAGGATTAGCAGCCCTCATGGCAGCCATGGCATCTCATCCCACCCACCAGGGTGGGTTGACTGACTCCAACAAGCAGTTGACTGGAACTGCACAGCAGTTATGTTTCTTTCTACCTAGTTTGATATTTGCCTACCTGTCAACTTCGGTGAGCACACAAGGAGGCATACATATTCAGTGCAAACATTGCTAAATATGATGGTGAACTGGAGGTAAAAGTATAGGCATGGTAACAGGGAAGGGAGTCCTGAAAGTGAACTCTCCCAAATCAAAGGTTATTTTGGAGTCCAGAGGGGACAATAACTGCCTTTGTTCCTTACATACAACTCAACTGGCTAGGTTTACCCAAGCGTCTGAGACAGAAAAAGGGAATGAAGGTACTATATGCGAGTACTTAATTTTTGGGTAGGCACTGTTTACAGTGGTATAAAACACTAGCAAATAGCAGGCTTAGGCTAAAACTATGCAAATATAATACGTTAAGTATTCCCCCCTCATGGAATGCTAAATTGTCTTTGGTTTGGGAGCTTCCATGGGTTCATTTACACTGGGAGTGGATAAATGGCAGTAAGGTGATCAGTTACTTTATTTAGAAAGCTGATTGATTTTACAAAGACACTGAAAAGACACTGTGTAATCTGTCCAGTCAGTGACCCCATTAGGTATAACACCACAGACAGGCACGGAGACTTTCTAAGCAACAGTGACCATGCTTCCATCATGTCTTTCATTCATTCTGTGGGAGCCATTGTTGTTGTTGTGAAAGTCTTTAACTTTATGACTTGCAAACAGAACACGTTTTTGCATTTTCTGTTTAAAATTAATGTACAATGTTACATGGCACACCATTTTCTGAATACAACTTCATGTTTCCACTAGTTGGTATACGGGCCCTTTCCTATATTCATTCACACACTCTCCATATTTTTTCTATCAATTATCAGATACATTCAGGTTGCTGATCTTTCAGAAGATTAATAGGGACTTTCTGGAAAAGTAATCCTCCCCTCGTTACTTTAAAAATGGGTATGAAAGGCAAGTACCAGTACACGCCCTTTCAGTTCCTTAAGAGAAACCAAAATGTCACAATCCCCCCTAGAAATCTATCCCTGCCATGCTCAGATATTGGTATGCAATAATTTCTCACACACTAAGTACCAGTGTATAAAATTTGTGTAAAATTAAAACCTGTGACCATGGAGAAGTGTTGGAATTTAGTCCTCACATCTGAGTCTAGAGCACTCCGAGTACTTTAGGTGCCAAATCCAGGGCTGAGTTCAAGTACATTGGTGACAAGTTTGAGTCCAAAGCACCAAACATGAGTACATCCAAGGCACAGTTTACATATTGACAAAAAAATAAACTTTATTTGTGTTTGTCAAGCATTTTTTTGGGTCAAAAACTATAGCCAAAAGATAAAAAATCATGGACAACTGGGTAGATGCCTAAGACAACTATTTAGGTTGAAGAGTGATGAAAATCATCCAACATTGTGTCTAAGAATTATAAAAATAAACAAATAAAGTGTGATACGTTAGAAAAATTGCATATTGGAAATCGCCAACAAATTCAACTATGAAAAGCTACAAGTGCAACAAAACCTTGGTCAGTGTTGGTCAATGCGGGAAATAATGCGACGCTCACGGAGCATAAGCTTGGCTCATATTAGCGCTCTAATTTCCATGGTAAGAGCTGCAGAGCAGAAAACTAGTCTAGCATGTACAATGTACTAGGAGCCTTCCTTGTACCCAGGGCACAGTAAGCATTCTGTATGTGTTAACAAGAGTGAAACTGCTGAGTCGTATTGTGTTGTGTTCAATGCAGTCTTCGCTCATCACCCAGCATCCAAAAATGCAATTGATAAAAAGTGAAGTACTCAAATGTTTTTCTCGAGTATAAGGGTCGAGTACCTAAGGGCCAAGTATGTATACAAAAAATCGTGTATTGACTATTAAGTTCAATTAATTTTCAAGTACTGAGTATGAGTACTCTTACACTGCAATGGAGTTCCTGTCTCTCACAAGCAGACTGTGTTTGAAATGGAAAGGCCATATTACATATCAGTATGATATGTAATATACTTACCACAGAGCACGTGTAGATATATTTTTGTACCTACATGTATATAGTCCAAGAGATCTTGACTACAAATAATAGTTTCTTTTATGTTGCTTTATGCTTTGCTTCAAGGATTTTGAAGACTTTCAATTTTCATGAGTGGATTTCAGACTTCCTGATTTGAAAAAGACAAAAATGCAAATGGACAAATGTTTAAACTCATTCTATTTACTTGGGAGAGTACTTTGTTTCCATTGCAGTCCTTGTAAATGCAACCTTATTGCTCTATTTTTATTCTTCCTTTTTTTTCATATGGTGGCTCTTAGGTTTTAGTCTGGAAGTGTGAGTAATAATGAGTAGGTTTGATGTCGTAGAAGTAAACATCAATGGTATGGTTATTTTGCAATTTTAAATTGTATTTCATTGGGTGATATGGAGTTCTTGGCAGTAGGTGGGTGAGCAAAGTTTTCTTACGAATAATTTCAGTTATGAATTTTTGTGTCGACAGCTTCTTCCCAAAGTGAACTTGTCAGGAAAAGCATTGAAGTTTTTAACTTCACTTTTCAGTTTGATCAAAAAGCATATTCTAAACAGTTTTTATACATTAAATAGGAGTACACCGTTACTCAAAATTTGTTTCCAATTAAACCCCATTAGACCCTGTAAAAGTTTAAAAGGAAAAAAAAGTCATTGGCCAGGTGTGTTTCTAAAGTCCATTTGTTGGTCGTGTAAACCTTGAACAGTATTTGATCTTTGACATTTGATGACATTGATTATGTTGTTTTTGGACAGGGCCAGCTTTGACATTGCTAAAGGTTGTGTCAGTTCTTTTTGTAAACTTTCAGCGTCTGAAACCTACTGACATAATACTTGATTTAGTATTTGTAGTTGTGGCCATGGCCCAGATTTTGGGGCTGTGTGACGTTGTCCTTCTATAACTCTGTTTTGCTAGCCATATATGCAGGCACATCGGGTGGAGCAAATGCGTGTGTAATATGCAGTCATTTGTCCATTCGATTTGTCTAATTCTACCTGTGCCAGAAATGGGGAGGGGGATGATATGAAAATTTGAAAAGGGGGGGACACAATATGACTCTATATAACAGTTGATGTTAATGATTTTATTGTACATTTGTATTCAGAATGCCGTATTTATGGCCTATTATTTTCTCCTTACTTGATGTTGAATACATTTTAGTTGTGGGAAGTCTGAAAATTCTTTAAATCTACTTATTTTCTCACCACAAAAAAGTAGCCATCATTCAGTAGCCCATCTCCCACCTCAAAAAGGGTATGGGGGATATCCCTGTCCCGGGTGATTTAGACCGATGAATTACACTGTTTTCGGGGATATAATGATTTTTTTCTGCTTAGGGGAGCACAGGGAAGATCCCAAAGATTCCCATTCCTGTTTTTTGTAAGGAGAAAGGTCTCTCTGTGAATATTCTTCATTTTTTCAGTTTCAAATAAATTTATGTAAATAAGTTTGAGGTATTTCTGCATTAATGACACATAATGGATACAAATATGGTGGCAATTTAAACAAGACCTAGAAGAAAAATGTATAATCATTAATTAGAAACTTGGGGAATGAAATCAAAATAGAGTTTTAATTGTCAGTTTTTGACAAAAAAATTGTCTTTTTTTTATGATTGTTTCCTGCAAGTTCAGGACTAGACAAACCATCTTTTTTCAAAGAGGTTAAATTGTCCAATATCACGATTTTTTCAAATTGGTTTGGTCGGATTTGTTGGGGTGTTTGTGTGTGCTAGCCTTACATACCTAGTGTGGACTTGCAAACAAAAGATGTCCACACGATGCAGGAAAGGAAGACATCCACAGGACGTTTCCCCTTCTCTGAAAAAGAGGTTTAGGGGTATTTTGGGGTAGGGGTCATCTGTCATAAAAGGAAGAGTAGGTATGTACAGAAGGTATGTAAGGTAAGTGTATGGGGGTGTGCGCTTATACATAGGGCCTTGTGGGGTACCAGAACAATGGGAAGTACCCCACAAGGCCAGTTTTACAAGAACTTCACAAAACTGATATTTGGAAATAACTTGAAAAGGGGAAATTTTTGATAGGTAAAAATCTGTTGCAAATTGAAGTGTTTTATATAAGGGACATACAGTCGAAATTTCAACCCAGGAAAGTGAATTTGGGTTAAATTGGAGTGATTTGATTTTTTTGCGTGTTGTGTAGGAGTTTTGTACACGAGAACAAAGGAAATACCCCACAAGTATAGCTGTAAAAGGGTATATGCATGTATATACAACTTGGAGTAATTAGTTTTTACCAGAATTAAAATTAACAAATTTGTGTAATTATTAAATGATATTGCTGTTTGATCTAGCAATTTTGATGTTTTCATGTAAAAAGATGTAGTGCTGGTTGTGTTTCACTGTGTCTGCCCAGTGGATGTTTGGAAGTTTCCATATGAGTTTTTTGTTTTTGGTTTTCTTTCTTTCATTTGGCTTTTTTTGGGGGGGGCTGACATTTTTTAACATTTTGTCAAATATTTATTGTGTTATTGCAATTTAATTAATAGTTTCCTGTTATCGAGATTTCAAACTGTCATGTCAGCAGTACACCTTTTAAGTTGGTTTTTCCATGATTGTATCACTTAGTTTGTTTTATTCAATCATTGTGTGGAAGTGAGTACTTGAATGAGTTTTATTTTCTTGTCATCTGTATCCTGTATATTATGTAAGCTTCCTCTTCCAGAACTTCCACATTACAGTCATTCTCTTATCCGTAGCAAAAGGAAGAGGAAGAACTAGCAGAAATCAAGCCTTATCCACACCGCGCCAGGGGCATTTATTAATGTCAATGATGCTGGGACAGGATAATTTTAATTTTTTTCCTGCAACCAATCTCGCAACCGTTGGATGCAAGCGCATCAAAAAGCTGAAACAGTTACTCATACTTCGTAAAGTTGTCTGTGATGATCGAGATGTTTTCATAGCCTCCTTTAGATCTTTCTAACTTGAAGAAATCAATGCAGAGGAGGTGGAGATACCCTTCTCTGATATGATATGACCAAGATATTAGGCTTTTCTTTGCAGTAGATGACATTTGGCAGGTTTCAGATTTAACCCATGTTGACAAAGACATGCAAACAAGTTTGCAAAGTGCTCTATATGTTCATCAAACATTAAAGAGACTACTATGATGTCATCCTAATATAGGAGAACTGTTGAGTAATTTTGATCACCAAGGCAATATTAACCGCTGAAAAGTGGTAGGAGCATTTCGGAGGCCAAAAGGCATGTGACTACATTCATATAAACCATTAGGGTAGTATAAAATGCAATTTTGAGTTTGTCACTTTCTCCAACTTCCACTGGTGGTCAGTAACCTTATGTTAAGTCTGAAGTTGAGAACAGTGTGGCATTACATAGGGCATCTCGTAACTCTTCAATAAGGGGAAAGGGGAATGCATCAGGAATGGTGTTCCTGTTTAACTGTCGATAACACAGATTCTGAGAGAATTGCTTTTCTTGAGGCGTAGTAGTTCTCTGCTGGTGATGCAGGGAGAAGAACCTTTGCGGATGGCTCCTGATTCTTCCATTCCCGTCAGATGTTCTCTTAATACCAATTAAATTATATTGTTAACCATGCACTCTGATTTAATACTTAGACCGATCTTAAGTACCTTGCCAAAATGGAGTACTAGTACAATGAGCCCCAAGTTGGACCAAGAGTGGGTGCAATTTTCCAAGCAACACAGGCTCCTTGCATAGAAACTAAACTTTGCTGTTTGACAAATGCCTATGAGATGCACATGTTACGGTCGCATCACCACCAACAAAATGAGCACTCCTCACCAACATGGCTCTTTTCAACTGATGAGGGGGTGCTTCCATTCAAGACATTCTTTGGGCACCAAGAGGGGTGGGGGTGTTCCAGGTGGCAGCACCCCCTGAGGGACAGTTGCGTAGACACGGGTCCACATAACTAGGTCCATATTGGTGCATGTTTCCTTCCTCAGGACAGGTGATTTGAGGCTTCCAGCGGCATTCAAGCACAACCGAGTTCAGTACGGGAAGAGAACGTGGGTGCCTGTCGGCAGTACCAGGGGGCTCCCGTTCCAGGGCATGGTAGGCACAGAGAAATCCGTCTGAGTCTCCCCTTCATCACACCTGGCCTTATGAGGGTTGCTTGAGAGGCTCTCAAAGGGTTGTTGGGCCCCCACCAGTTGCATGGTAGGAACGGGCCCCACTGCCCATGCCCTGGTTCCATGGGTACCTTGTGGTCCGAGGAGAGTCTAGGAGGGGTGGCCGATCATCCCGATGGGCTCTGCTGTTTGACAGGGAAGATGAACCCCTGTGCTGGAAGCCTGTTCGTCTTTATAGACGGCTAGGCTGCCCATCTGCCTGGCCTGAATTTGAATGCTTCCTTGTCAGCATGTCTGGGTCAGCAGACTCGCACCCCTGTCAGCAAGAAGGGGGATCTGGAGTGCCTTGCCTGGAGGGCTGAATTTTTTTTCGTCCCTGATGGTGTGGGGTGGGTGACCTACTCCAAATGGCTGCAGCCCCCTTGGTCGATGACATCAAACTCTTCATCCCTGGCATGGACGTGAGAGGGTTTCATCTTCCATACCAAACATCTCCACCAATACTTGTGGTGCCAGGCCCTTACATCTGCAGGGTAGAACCTCCGTCTGCATCCTTTATCGCAAAGGTGTGGGCACTCCACATGTCTGTGGAGGTTGCCCTTCTTGGAAAAGGTCTTCCTGCAATGGGTGCATATCGAGAGGAGAGGCATCCTGCAGGTGGGGGAAAGAGAAGAGTCAGTTAATTGGATGCAGTATCAACTGGGTCGAACTATCTTCCGCCCTGCCTTGGTTACTCAGGGGGCGAGGGTGCTGCTAGAGCTGGGGGAGTATGCTTGCTCTAAACTGGTCCCACAGGACTCGGCGTAGGAATCCTGTCCATCACTGCTCTGCTGATCAGATGGGATGTTTGGTGGCATGTCAAATGGCAGTGTAATGTTCCTCCGAAGCTGCAGTTGAATTGTCTTTGACTACAAAGTCCCCCATCTCTGCCAGAGTATCTTCTTGGGTTGGTTTGGTTGTCTGAAGTGGTAACGGGGGACATCGTGCTTCCCTGTGCTCCACCAGTCCACCTCACCAAGGTATGGCTTCAGACGGTTGAAGTGGACAACCTTGGTTTTGGCCCGAGGGGACTTCTGTATCTGGTATACAACATCATCAATCTTTTTTATCACCACAAAGGTGCCATAGCAACCACACTGGCTCATAATCATACCCAGCTGCTTTTGCTTGGCGATCATACTGACACTTTTGGAAGTCTGTGCCTTCTGCAAGTGACAACGGGCAAACTCATAGGCTCACTCCATCCTCTCTTTCAACTAGCTTCAGGTGCCTCCACCCAACTGTTGAATGTAACGGTAGGCCAGCCTGAAGAGGGAGCCCCACCCCCAAACCAAGCATCAAAATGTTTGGTGTAAGCTTGGTGCTGTCATTTTGGGAACAGCGATAGGCCACCATGATGAAGGGATGATGTTCATCCCAATCATTGTCTTCACTGTGCAGTTAAAGCGCTCGACCATGCCATCTGACTGAGGGTGGAACAGCATGGTGCGGGTCTTGTGGATGCTAAGCACCTCACAGACACCCTCAAACAGGCTGTCTTCGAATTCCTTCCACTGATCCGTGTGGATTTGTAGGGGAGTGCTGAAACGGGTGATCACCTGCTCAACCAGCATATTAGCAACAGTCTTGGTGGTCTAGTGGGGAATAGGAAATACCTCTGCCCATTTTGTGAAGTAGTCGGCCACCACCATTATGCTCTTATCCCAGCCATTGTCCTTGGGACTGTGCCTGTGAGATTGATAACCAGGCATTCCATAGGAGCCCCCACCAGATACTGCTGAAGAGGGGCCCTCAAGGGTTTTGGAGGAGGCTTCTTAGTTCCACACCTGTTCCACCTGGTGTCTCATCTCCTTCCAGTTTACAAGAGCCTGCCTCAGCCGTTCCACCATACGGGCAAACCCCAAGTGACTTGATGTCCTATTGTTATGTGCCAACCTCAAGACGCTGGGTACTTTCCCTCAGGTGAAAACAACCTTCCACGCTGGTGGACTACCATCCAGGTGCTCCCACCTCATCTGCATGATGTCCTTGGATAGCCACAGTGTCTTCCACTTGGTCCACCAAAGTTTTATGTCCTCATCCAGCGCCAAGATGTTCAGCCAACTTGGTCTTGGGGCCTCTTCCCCAAGCCACTTGATGATCTAACACAGCCTGGGGTCGCTGTGATGTTCCTATTTCAACTCTTTTGGGTCCCAGACCCCCAGGAGTCTGTCTGGATAAGTAGCGTCACCCATAGTACTGCCCTTCACTGTCCCCACCAGTGGTCCATCAATACCACGTGACTCAATTTGTGATGATTTCCAGGTTTCTCACTGTGCCAGACTTTCCCAAGTATAACAAACTGGCCACATGGGGTTCTAGAAATAGCGTCAGCATTTGTGCGCTTCTTCCCACTCGGTGCTCAACGTCTAACTCAAGGCACCCCAACTTCTGAATCCATCGAGCAGTCTGCACCTAAGGTTCCCGGAAATTGCATAGCCAGTGCAGTGATCCGTGGTCTTTTCTGAGTAAGAATTGTTTCCCCAGGAGAGAGTGTTTTAAGTACGTTACAAAATAGATCACAGCAAGCAACTCCTTCTAAGTGGTAGAGTAGTTGCGCTCAGCCCTGGACAAAGTGTGGCTTCTGTAGGCAATCAGGTTGGTGGTTAGTGGTGGCCACTTACTGATGATGGCAACCTTCT